ATCACGTACCATCCCTACGTCGTGCTTCGCAAGGGAAAAGACATCAATGACGTCGCACTGCTCCTTGGGCAGGGGCCATCGGCGTGTTACACAGTATTTGATTCCCGGAATCAGGTCCATCTCATGACGCACACTCGGTCCGAAGGTAGAACCAAAGGCAGATCTTTGGAGACGACGTCTCGAAATTTCTTTACCAAAGGATAGTACAGATTCAAGAGATTTCGTATGATCGACGATCCACTTCGTGCGTTCAGCACTCTCTTGGTGCCCCCCAAGACAGCTTCATCCAGAAGCGATGACCTCGTCCGGTCGTACAAGAACCACTTCGGCCAAATCGCTTGCCTTCAAGGCACTGCCGAACTCTTCAAGAGACATCTCGTCCAGCTCAAGAAGATCATCTACTGCAGGCATAGCCCCGAGGCGGGCGTCGCCATCTTCCTCCCCCGTCATAGCGCTGACGAGGGTCTAAAACTGTGCACCGTTATCTACGGTAGACACCCTGGATCAGGGTCGACACCCGGCGTCTTGCAGCCGGCATACGGCTTGAGCACGCACTCCGCGTCGTCAGTTTCACCCTCGCCGTCCGCTCCTTTGGAGCTCCGATGTTATCTACAACATTCGACAAAGAGCTGCTAAACCCGCAGTCTTCGTCCAGTGGATATCTTGCAACTCTACGGGCATATGAAGGGCCGTGTCCAAGATGCCTCGGACTCTGTCCAACCACGCCATCAATGGCTTGCAGCGACTGCTTAGCACCGAGAGCAGTGCTCAGTGGTTAACGTCCACTTCAAGTGCATCACGAGGGCCTCGCCCTCGATGCCTCGCCCCTTGGCCGACCATGTCATATGACATGCAGCGACAGCTTTGATACTCGAGCAGCGCTCAGTGGTTTACGTGTCACATCACGTACATTACGGGGGCCTCGCCCTCGATGCCTCGGCCCTTGGCCGACCATGTCACGCAAGACATGCAGCGTCTGCTCCGAAACTTGAGCAGCACTACGTGGGTTACGCGCCAATCCACAATCATCCCGCGAGCCACGCTCGATACTCCTGTCCGATACACCGCTGGTGTCTACCAACTCGGATTTCCAATGTTCAGCACGTAGACCGTCTCGGCCCAGTTCTCATGCAAATAGCGCTTTTGTCTCCTAACAAAGGTGGGCACATGACTCGCCATAGTTCCACCAGGAGACGTGCGCGTAGCGCCCAAGGTCTTTGACCTCCAATCAATACATCGCTCATGGTGTTTCCTAACATGCCATTCCTAGGCTGAGGTCATACCTTGCATCCAAGTCTAAGACGAGACAGCGTTCCACGCTATCAAAATCAAGGAACTGGACTCCGAGTTCCACACAAACCTTCGGAACTGTGACACGCGTCCCCGTCGCTAGGCAATCAGTGACGATGTCATTCGACCGCGCTTTCATCGCCTCAGCATACAGCTGACTTCCTTCCAATGTGGAGCGTCGAGAATAATTGCCCGACGCTCCGGAATCGATGAGGATCTTCCATGGCATCTCGAAGCCCTTTACGGTCGCCTCCACGACCAGCAAGCCCGGCATGCATACACGTTCCGTGTTTAAGAGCACGGAGCTCTTCGGGGCTGGACTCTGTTGACATATGCCTCCCTGAGGCTCAACAGAACTCAGTTTTTCCCCAGTAGGTCGCCCCGTGCCTACTGGGTGGTGTCGTTTCCCGAGACGAACTAGACTGGTAGGAATTGGGCGATGGTTGAAGAACCTTGACACGCTTCACGCAGGGGGCAATCGTACCGAAGATGACGGGTGTCTCCGTAAACAAAACACCGCCGTGAGATTTTTGTGCTGCCCAGCAGCTCAGAGCTCTGCCCCCTCGTCCTCAGCAGAGCTGAAATCAATGGGCATAGGCCCGCTCGACGAGCTGTTGGAGTGTGCATTCCAACCAAGTCGTGCCGACTTGAAATTGAATTCAGCTTTCAATACCACATTCACCGCTCCTTCAAACGAAGACGGATGCACACGAAAGACTTCCATTCTGGTCACGCCAGTGCGGAGGCTTTCCATAAAGACGGTCACTGCGACCGACTCCGAAAGGAGATCTGCTGCCATCCCGGCAATGAGAGAGCGCATCTCTTGGACAAAGTCCACCAATTCCTTGTTGCCCTGTCGGGCGGCAAGAAAACGCGATATGCCTGGTTAGGCGGCGAGTACACTCGTGAGAGCTGCTATTTCAGCTTCGCCCAGAAGGGAAACGTTTCAACCGAAGTGCCGCACGTCAGTGCCCATTCTCGCGCTCGACCACCGACTTTTGAGATGACTAGCGCCACGCGCTGTTGCTCGGTCTGGAGCATGGTGGATGCGATGGCCTTCTCGACCTCTCTCATCCAGAGCAGGAGATTCTCTCCATCCTTCCCCTAGCTGAGGTCCTTGCCTGACCCTGAGATTATGCAACACCTTGCGGCGCAAGGCCCCGAGGCAATCGGAGCGCGTCTAGAGGCGTTTTCTAATCACAAAAAAACGCGCTGCTAGAGCACCTGCAGCAGAAGATGTCTGCATCATTCGCGTCTATGATGACACTGTTAGTGACGGATGATATTCCCCATCCTAAGCCGATCATGGTGAGCGTTAAGGTCTTCGCGTTATCGAATGTTCTGGAATTGGTGTAGTTTTTACGTCCTTCATGCTGGGGCAAAGAGGAAAATTGTTTCATCCTCACAGAGGATCAGTCGTAACGACTCAGTCGTTTATTGACTACGAGTGCTACCAAGTGCAGCGGGGCTGCCGTAGCTCTCTGCTTCGAAGAAAGCTGAGCTAAGGTCACCGACCTTACGTTCTATACTAGAACCAGTACGAGTGTAGTGGATCGCAATCTGCTACCTCTCAGAGTACTCAAAACCTTAACCAAGGCAAATACACTCTTCCGTTTAAAATTGAAACTGCATTTATTTGTTTTATTTGCGGCAGAGCCGTCCTATATCTAAAACCTTAGGTTTCCTAACTAAATAATTAAATCTAATAAATATGCATAACTGCTGGCAGTCCCGCCACGTTGTGGCTTCTTGTTACGGTGTAGTCACACCATTGTGTGACTACACCGACTTTTGTAATCCACTCCCATGCACGGTCACACAAGATGGTGTGACCCACCCTTGCATACCAGAGTACGTGTAACCCCGTTACACATCCGACTTTCTTCGTAGGGCACCCCAATCCTTATCATCGCGACGACGCGACTTCCAACCTGGATGTGACGCAGTCTCATTCGAATATGGCTTTAGAGCCACAACTTCAGCACGAGGGTCAGAACTCGTACCCCTCGGCGTCGTCGCCTCAGCATGATCGTAAAGAGTCAGAACTTTGACAAGAAGCAGATGTCTGCTGATTGCGTAGGCGATTACTGCAGGAAGCTTATCCACACGATTTAGAGTGAAGTCGCTTAACAGGATCAGCGGCAGTAGCCGCAGCAGGAAAAAGGATTTGTAGAGCTTGCTCTGCTCGCCTAATCTAATTCTCGATTGTATTCTCAGGCAAGTTTTAATGATGCCATGAGAGATCGCGAACATCGCAGACGACCCGTCGAGAATGCTTCACGCGTTGTCCAGTCCTCAACACGCGATCGAGCACCTCGATCATTGGCGGATTCAACACGGAAAGGAGTTTCTCCACCTCGTCAATCGCAATTCCAAAAATGACGAAAATGTGGAGTAGCCACAGTAGAAGCAGAAGGGACGACCACTTTGGGCACTTTCTTCTCTTTCTGATCGACAGGGACACCGATACTACCATGTAGAGAACGTGGTGGCAGAGGAAAATGCCCGGGGTCGGAAGGAGCTATTTGTGAAATGGCTGAGTTATCCAGCGAACGAGGATTCGTGGGAGTCTTGTAGTCGTATTCTTTGCGACCATCACGATATCGTTCTCGCGTTGTCGGCGGTCCCAAGACGAACTCCGCTTAATGGATTAGTCTCATCCT